CAGCAGGAAACATGGTCAAAGTCTCGCTGAAACAGCTACTGACGCGTGGCACTGGGACAGCTAACCTAGCTCCTCAGTCTGGGGTGCTTAATATTTTCGTCATGAGTATTAACCTACATGTCCACATCAAACCTATTAAAAGTAATTTGAATTTTATAAATATAGATGCAGAACAAAATCTTATTCTTTAATTCTATTCCGGATGCACAGTTCTAAAGTAAAGTGTTTACTTTGATTAGGGACAAACCTCCAAAGAATATTTTTAGTACAACTGTTTTATGTTGTTGGATTCTGATCTGTTCCTGAGATGCCCAATATGGGGGGAGGGGGAGGAAAGTATTTTTTTCATTTTAAAAAGAAGTTGGTTTTCCTTTGACTGTAACACTTTACAGGTTTCCTTTGACTGTAACACTTTACAGGATAAATGAAGCAAGGCTGATGTAGTTACATGGTACATCTGTGAACTAGTCTTGTATTATCTTTGTGAATCAAGCTTAATATTCTAAAGTAATAGGACTTAACTTAGTTTAACAAATTCTAAATGTGCCCAGAGAGAATGAAAAACACTAAAATAGAAAATACAATGCGTGTTGTTAATCCAAGAAACTGCAAAATCCCTGAGGTCCATACGCATGAATGTTTAGTAAAACCAGTCTCAGGAGAGGTAGTCAGCCATGCGATCCATACTGCCAGCTGACGGACACAGCCCTGTCCTGCCCGTTAATCAGTGTAGAATTTGCTACAGCTCAGTTAAATTGCTTTCATAGGTAAGCAATTTTTTTTCCTTGTTAGACATTTTAAAGGACTTCCCTTGGCCCTTGAAATTTATTTTAAGATAGATGCTTTCATCTGTGCCATTGTGTTAAAAACAACTTGAAATAAAAACGTTGATTTACAAGGGGAGAGGGAGAGGAAAAGGAGGTCAAGAACAGCACAGCTCAGCCCCTTGCCAAAGCATGAAGTATCCCGTCGACTTCAGAGTCACGATGTCACTCGCTGACTGAATGTGGCCATTTAGAAGTGAATAAAAACCTGAACTTACAGGCACTAAATATCAAAACTCAGAAGCTATGTAAGTCATGCTTTCTCCACAGGATAAAGGTAGGGCTGTTCCCTTCCTTCTATTAAGTCGTTGCAGGGAAATCCATGAAACTACTTCTGCGTGTGGGAGAATCTGCACCTCTTGTTTTGCTTCACTGTTAGACTCAGGGAGAGCTGGCATACTTCTGCATAATCCAGTAAGCCTAAATACCTTCGGCACTGAAAACAGAAATGCTCTTATCTTACAATGTTGGTTTTCTTCCAACTGCTAGAGAGAAAACCTTAGCGCGTTACGGAGCGTGGCGACGGGGGCAGGGATTTTCTCTCAAGACAGAGGGCCCGTTCTGGCTGACGAGCGCGCCTGCGTTACAGCTGAGCCCTGCCGCCCGGGCCGCTGCGCCCGGCTGCTCTGGACACGTACCGCTGGGCGCACCCAGGGCGGGAGGACCCACAGCGCCAGGCGCCACGGCCTGCTTGCAAACGCAAAGGCCTGAACTGCATTATTTTTCCGTCTGTCATGCTGACATCCTACTGGGAGCTGGCCCACCGCCTCCTTCCGAGTAAGAATACTAAGGGGAGACACAATGAAGCACTCAAGTTTGGACCTTTCCAGTTAGGTTAGGTATACCTCACCGATGCCTTTAAGACTGGGCTAATCCATAGATGGGTTTGGGGAAATTCAAAGAATTTGTGACTGGATAAATAATACTCAGCATCGATGAAGCGCTTGTCTTTCCCAAGTCAGAAGTCTACGTCATTTATTTCAGGATTGTGAATTAACACGTACAGGTTAATCCTCCAGGAATACAGGGCTCTCCATTTCTCCTGGATTCCAATGGCTTTGCTACTGAATGTATTTCACACTATTTTTACCGGAAAAAGAAAAAAAAAGATATGGGTAGAGAATTAGGACATTACTTCCTCTTATTTTCTTATTCAGTGGGACTTGCTTTTATTTAACCTGTAAAGGAATATATATGTATCTTTGGAAAACTATATCTTATATATAGAATAATATATAGGAAACTGAATCTCAAGGGGATAAATACATCAAAAGGATTTGGTATCATAAATTTCATTTGTGATTTGATACCACCAGGATCCTGGGCTGTACTGATTTCCTTTCAGTTTCTCTTATTTTTGTATTTTATATAATACGTGGATGATACTACCAATGCAAACGAGAGCAGACATTCTCAGATTTTTCTCCAGATTCCAGTTCCCTCCTTCCAGTAATTCCTGGACTTGCGCTGCTGCTGATACCACCTTCAAAAGCTGTGCCAGCAGCTCTCTCGAGCTTTGGGAACTGTTGCTTTCCCACGGAAGAAGCTTCTCCGGCTTCTCTGAGCTGGGAAAAGACAGCACGTGAATACAGAAAAGGGCCTAATCAAGCATGATCCGGACCCCTCAGAGTCTGCCATTCAAGGTGGATTCGCTTCAGCACGTGGAAAACAAAGAGCAGCTCCAAAGCTCTGACTCCCTTACAATGAAGTTTCCCAGTTCCAGAGTTGCATTTATTACCTGGGTGTGTCCCAAGTTCATAAAATACACTTTCCTAAAGAGTTAGGTAAAACGAGCATCGCAGTGATGTCAGACCTTTACCTGAGAACAATTCAGTACTGCCAGTTCCTGTGTACAAATCCACGCATTATATAAAGTATAATATGGAAATATAAGTGTAATGCTTGTTATTAAAAGTGCAATTCAATGTACATGGTCACAACAAATGTTTACTTTTTTAATTGTTACAGAATTGTTTGGACAGTACCTTGTTATCATTGTGTGAACGATGCCTTGTAAAATAAATGGAAACGCAAACAAAATGGGAGTAAGGTGCTCATTTTCATAAGCCATTTACTGAAGAAACAGCTTAAATCTGTTTGCAATAATAAAGAGCTGCCCTGTCAGGTTTGCTGACACAGGTCACTCCAGCTGGTGGTTTTCAAGCAGCACTGCTGCACTAGGACCCAGTGACTCGCAGACTAGCTGTCCAGAACACGTAGCTAATTGCAACCCGTTAGTTAGGCTAACGTACTGGTTCACACGGAGTAACCTGTTCCGCAGGAGGCTGACAGACAGGCACTGTGCTGGAGAGCTGACGGGTCGCCCTGCTCCTCTCCTGCACACGCTGGTCGCAGGTTTCCAGCACAGAGAGAGCACTGGTAGATACGCCTTTCCTAAAGCTTGTCCATATACAGCGATGGGGAAACAGGAGCTGCTGTCAGGACTTCGTGCTTCCCTGGAGCACACAAGAGAAACACGCAAGTGAGCTGTGAGGCAGCACGGCTGCAGGAAGAGACGTAGGGAGCAGACGGGAACAGCAAGAAATGGAGAACTGACGTGGAACAGAGAAGCATGGGTGAGCCAGAGCAGGACAGAGCGGGATTTACAGCAGTCAAAAGTACTCAAACGCTTTATAAAGCCATTTCTCCATGTGAGCAATTGCTCTAGGATTTCTTTTTTATTAATTGAGATGAACAGGCGTTGTTCCCAGATAACTGGAAAAGCACACAGTGGGAAGGTATGAAGGCAAAGAGAATCATAGAATCATAGGTTGGAAAAGACCTATGACTCTATGATTCTCTTTGCCTTTGTATCCTCCCCCTGAAGTGCTGTGTGCTGACGATTAAATCTTTCTAGCCAGAAATTTTAATTATAAAGAGATACCAATTTAAATTGTAAAACTATGAGCGCTTCCTAATATAAGACCACAACTCGGAGTGGAGAAACTCAAAGATTAGTAGCTAAGGAAAAAAATAAAAACTGCAAAGCCTTGTCTCAGTGGCTGCTCACCAGAAAGAGGGTAAGGAAACAATCCCTGCACAAGCAACTGCCCTTAGCCCATTAAATAACCATGCCGTGGAAGTGAATTCCAGTTGACCAGACGGTATTTTCCAGATAAAATCAGCTAGCCCAGCTGCCAGTGCTGCTGCTGAAGGTGGACAGGCCGAAGCTCAGTCCTGCAAAAACTAAACGTAACCGCGGCGTTAGTTACGCAGAGCTTTCCCGACCCTTTCTCAGCTGCTGATCTTGAAGCGCGGGACCACAGGGCTCTAACGAACACCTCAGCCGGCCGAAGCTGCTGGAACGCAGGCTTGGACACAAATCCTCCGCTTCAGGTTTTCTATTAATCCGCTACCTTCAGCTGATCTACTCTTCCCTCCATACCTCTACAAATAAAAAAACCTCTTTACAGATTAATTAATTCCTGGATATTCTCTTTACAAAAGGGAAAAACAAACAGCTAAGCCGGTAAATCGGCGAATGAGCCGGCATTCCCCAATCCGGTAAAACAGGCACTGCAACTGGCGCCTTTCCTAGGAGAAACCCACCTCCCGGGTGCTGCCCGGCTGGTTTGGTTTTTCCACCCCCGCTCCGGGACATTTT